TTTTTTGAGACGGAGTTTTACTCTGTCGCCCAGGCTGGAGTGCAGTAGCAGGATTATGGCTCACTATAACCTGCTCTCCCAATTCAAGTGATTCTCATGCCTCAGCCACCTGAGTAGCTGGGATTATAGGCATGCACCACTGCATACAGCCCATTTGGGTTTTGCCATGTTGTCCTTGCCATGCTGTGTAGGCTAGTCTCAAGCTTCTGGCCTAAAGTGATTCACTGGCCTCAAGTGATCCACTGGCCTCGGCCTCCCAAAGTGCTGGGATTATAAGTGTGAGCCACTGCACCTGGCCAGGTTTTCTTAGGTTTTAGCTAATGCCCTTTTTCTGTTCCAGGATCATATCACGGAAACTACATTACATTTAGTAGTCATATTTCCTAAGACTCCTCTTAGCTGTGATAACCTTGTCGGCATTGAGGAATACTCAGATATTTTGTAGAATGTCTCAAATCTGGTGTTTTTTCATGATTAGACTAGGGTAATGTGTTTTGGGGAGGAAGACTGCAGAGAGGTAAAGTTCTTTTTTCATCACATCAAATCGGGAGTGCACTCTGTTTATTACTGTTTATTACTGTTGATGTTAATCAGTGTTAATTAACTTTGAGGTAGTGTTTGTCAGATTTCTCTATAATAAGGTTACTCTTTTTTCCCTCACTTTTCCATACTATACTGTTTGCAAGGGCAAATGTAAATCATTTAGAAATCTTCTGAATATTTGCCTATGTACCTCATTTATTTATTTAAGTCATTTATTTGGTCTTAGTTAATTTAGTCTTAATTCTCCTGGAAATTTTATAAATTTTCTGATACCTTGTAATAAATGCTTTTTTTCTTAAAAAGAAAATAGAATTACAAGATTACAAGCTCTTCAGATGTTATCCATTGAGATTTGCTTCATTCATCATAGCATTATCAGTTAAAAAATTACTAGATATACATGTATGCATATATATAAAGTTATTCTATAGATATTGGTAAGTCTAGTAGTATATATACCAAATTATTAACCATGAGTACCAGAATCAAAAGCAATCAATTTTTTTTTCCTGTGGGAACAGCCAAGGCTCCTATTTCCTTAATAATCACCAAAATTATCCTAAATATTGGAAAGATTGTGAGCACCTTTTGCTTGCATTGAGGAATTCATCTCATTTAATTTTATAAGAATATGTAAAATGATGGTTCTTAGTTCTCAACTCACTAGGTGAAAACTAGAATTTAGGAAAACCATGAGTTCACAGAGAAGCTTAAACAATTGTGTAATTCTTTTATATGTAATAATAGTAAACATTTTTCTAAAGGTGCGTATATCTTCTAAAGTCGCATGCATTGAATATCTGTTTAAAATTTGCTTTTAAACGCTAATCTTTAGAACAAAGACAGGATGCAGAGATTTCTGTTTAAAAGCAAATTAAAATATTGTGCTCATAACCTTGTCTTTATTTAGTTATATTTTTGATAACTTTACAAATCAGGCACTGAGATTAAGAAGATATTCATTTTCAATGGAAATAAATCTGAAGGTGAAAAATGCCCACGATAACTTTTAAAATTTCTTACAACCTACTGGTTATTATAATTGGTCATTAATTTTAATCTAAGAACATTTAAAAGTTATAACTTCAATTTCATTTTGTTCTGCAACTGTGAGTACAACCAACCATGGGTGGAAAACACAGTATTCACTGATACATACATAAGAAAAGTGCATTCTAAATGTGTTTTTATTGTTTTGTGGGGAAAAAATCAGCTACATGAGTTTAATACCTTTCCCCTATCCCTGCCAATAAAACGTGGATTTCATGGAGTATCATTTGAAAAATATCAATTTAGATATTCTTCTTAAGCTTTTTTTTTTTTTTTTTTTTTTTTTGAGACGGAGCCTTGCTCTGTCGCCCAGGCTGGAGTGCAATGGCATGATCTCTGCTCACTGCAACTTCTGCCTCCTGGGTTCAAGCAATTCTTCTGCCTGAGCCTCCTGAGTAGTTGGGATTATAGGCATGCGCCACCATGCCCAGATAATTTTTTGTATTTTTAGTAAAGATGGGGTTTTACCATGTTGGCTAGGCTGGTCTGGAACTCCTGACCTCATGATCTGCCCACCTTGGCTTCCCAAAGTACTAAGATTACAGGTGTGAGCCACCACGCCCAGCCCTTTTTATGCTCTTAAAGATTCAATGCAGGTATGTGTTCTTCCCTGAAGCCCTATTCACTGCCAAGTAGTTATGCACCCATATTTCCCTATGTTCAGAATGGATTAGCACCATTGTACCCAATGCAGTTAAATACTTCAATAAGTACTATTTTCGATTGGATCTTCATATTTGTGTTTTGTCTCTTCTATGAGTTATTTATCACATAAAGTAGAGTTGGATCAACTCAGAGCTATTGTTGGACATGAGCATTAGTTGATTAAGAATATATTTGTTACTTCAGGACTTGGTGACATTCAAGGATGTGGCGATAGATTTTTCCCAGGAAGAGTGGCAATGGATGAACCCTGCTCAGAAGCGATTATACAGGAGTATGATGTTGGAGAACTATCAGAGCCTGGTATCACTTGGTGAGGATCTTTTCCCTCCTTCATAGTCTACCTTTAAGGAACTTTTATGTTTTTATGTATTATTAAATTTGCTTTTATTATATGTAGGTCAGAATGGAATATAGGAATGAAATCTGAGAAACAGAGGATATAGAAGGGATTGAAGAAAACTGGAGAATTAGAGTTAGTGAATTTTGTGACTATCAGATATTCCATGCATACACCCTTAAGGCAATTGGAAACATAGGACACATTATGAATCTCACCAGTGTCCTGGGTTTCCTTGGTGTCTCTCTCCTGAAGAATTATTATCATCACTAGATAATAACAGCGTTCACAAAGAATATAGCTAGATTACTACAAGTTCAGAATATCACTTTTAAAATCTGTGTCTTTGTATTAACTTGTGAAAAGTAAACCAGGAAGACACAAACTGTGAAAATGGCTTCAGATCATTAGGGAAATTTATATGGACCTGTCTTCTAAGCACTGGGGCTACCTCATTGGCTAGATTAGCTTTTTGTTCTCTAGAAGCCCTTTTCTTTTGATTATGCTTGTGGTTTATTGAGCTTCTTGAAACTAAATTTATATCTTAAGCCAAATTGTTAGCCATTATTTCTTCAAAGTTTTTCTGTTCTTTTCTGTTTTGGGACTTCAGTTATACACATGCTAGATTGTTTGATATTGTGCCCTAGGTAACTGAGGATTGTTTTACTTTTTAAAATCTTTGTTCTCTTTTTCTCAGATGGGATAATTTCTCCCCCCCTTTTTTTTTTTTTTTTTTTTTTTTTTTTTTTTTTTTTTTTTTTTTTTTTTTTTCCCCCTTTTTTTTTTTTTTTTTTTTTGAGAAAGAGTCATTCTGTCACACAGGCTGGAGTGCAGTGACATAATCTTGACTCACCACCTCCCAGGTCCAAGCAATTCTCTTGCCTTAGCCTCCCAGGTAGCTGTGATTACAGGTGCTCACCACCACACCCAGCTAATTTTTGTATTTTTAGTAGAGATGGGGTTTCACGATGTTGCCCAGGTTGGTCTCAAACTCCTGACCTCAGGTGATCCACCCACCTCAGCCTCCCAGAGTACTGGGATTACAGGTGTGAGCCACCATGCCCAGCTCAGTTTCGATAATGCTGTTGATTTATAGTCAAATTCCTTGACTCTATCTTTATCTTCAGTGTTTAGTTAGGTACCTCTAGTGAATTTTTAAGTTTCAGTTCTTATATTTTTTAAATTATAGAATATTTATTTGGTTCTTCTTATAGTTTTTCTTCTGAGATTTCCTGTGTGTACATTTATTAGAAGTATATTTGCCTTCATATTATTATTTATATAATAACATCTGTTTTAAAATCATGTGCCAATTCCAACGTCTTTGTTATTGCAGTGTGAGTGTCCCATTGCTTGCTTTTTCTAATGGGCATGATTCACTTTTTCCTTTTCTTATGTCAAGTAATTTTGATTTTTATTATGGATGCTATAAATAAAACATTGTAGAGCCTCTGGATTCTGTAATATTCCCCTGAAGAGTATTGATTTTTTTTTTAAAGCAGGCAAGTTACTCAGAACTTCAAACTCTGTTTTCTAGGGACCTTTTAAAATACTTCATTTACTACTGGGTGATAATATTCAGAAAATGTCGGGCTAAATTTCTGCCCTCAAGCCCCTAATAAAATAGTTCATAGAGTTAACTGTTAGTGATATCATTAGGCTATTCCAGAATTTTGTGTAGTCTGTCCTTCAAATGTGCTTTATCTCTTCTCTAGTATTCCTGCTGTATCATTCTAGCAGAATTACGGTACTGGTTTCTAGTTCTGAAATAACCCAAAACATGGCTAATTTTCATATCTTTTTTTATATGCAGGTCTTTGTGTTTCTAAGCCGTATGTAATCTCCTTATTGGAACAAGGGAGAGAGCCTTGGGAGATGACAAGTGAGATGACAAGAAGCCCATTCTCAGGTGAGTGTGGAAGAACCAGAGAGGGGAATCTTTTTGACATAATAGCTCAGCCATTTTTAGAGGTGATACCTTCTCACTTATGCATCTCAGAAACTCTTCATAAGCCTTACAGGCCTGGGAAGAAAACTGAAACTTTAATGCTTAACGTGGGCCCCGCAAATATCTTATCTTCTACTTGTCTGTCTTCTTTACAATAACTAAGATTCTCTAGAGATTAGAGAATCTTAAATCTGTAAGATTTTTATTTTGCGAAAGTCTTTATTCAGCTCCTTACCATCCTCTCTTTCGCTTTGCCATGCAAACTTACATAACGTTCTGTATTTCTTCAATCTTTCTTAATTCTTGAATTAGGGGCTGCTTACAAATTATAATGTACCCTGCTACTCTTTCATTCCTTTCCTGTAGCAGATAGGAAAGATCTAAATCCTGTTAACCTCTTCCTGATCAGCGCCTTCTTTTATAACCTCATTCTTTATTCCTTTTTAGCTTTTTCATCATACTTTAGTCCAGAGTTTGCTAAATTATGTGAATTACCCAGAGTATGCTTCAAGTGAGTTGCAGGTATACCAAGCTACTAAGTTTCTCAAGAGCCTTGGGAAACTAGATGGGTCCGGAGGTAACTCCAAATCTGCTTGCATCTGGGTCACAGGCAGTATCATTCTTTTGCCTGCTCCACCTGTGTTTTACAAACGTCAATTTGAATGAGTGTTCATCTAGCCCATGAGTCAACTTTTCTGGACTCACCAAGCTTTTTACTAGCACAGGCGTTTGCATTACCTGTTTCCTCTACCCAGAATATTTCTCTCTTGAGTCTGTCTGTCCTGAATATCAAGTCAGAGCTAAAAAATCATCTCAACAGAGGCCTTCCCTAACCACCTTATGTAATGAACATTCCCCCATCCCAACCCAATAACTTTTCACCAAACCACTGTTTCTTTTCTTCCTAACATTCAGAAAAGCCTAAAATTAACTAGTTTATTGTTTGATGCTTATATTCTGACTCTCTCACTGAAATGGAAGTTTCAAAAGACATTTTGGATAAAATATTTTATGCCTATATAAAATTCTTGTTTTCCTTCTGTAACAGTGTTTGGGCTTTACATTTTGGATAATTTGGATTCTCAGCTTTTTGTGTCCTCCAAATACAGGAGTCCACCTAGTCAAGCCTTTGCCTTCTGCAATTTGTTACCCACAGTACACTACTGTCCAAAAATGTTAAATGGAAAATTCTAGAAATATACAATTTACATGTTTTAAATTGTGCACCATTCTTAGTTTCATGGTGAAGTCTTGCACCTTTCTGTTCTGTCCTGCCCAGTTCATGAGTCATTCCTTTATGTAGTACATCCATGCTGTATGCCGTGCCTGCCTGTTAGCCTCTTAATCTCATCTAGCTTTCCAGATCTGTTGCTTGTAGTGAATATAGGATTCAGTATTATGCCAGGTTTCTGGCATCCACTGGGGCCTTGAACTATATCCACTGTGGATAACAAGGAATGACTATATCCACACATCAGAAGAGAAATAAACCCTGCTTGGATGCACTGTATACTTCATTGTTATATGAAGATGGCATCTTCCTTAAATAGAGAAACAGAAAGGAACTTTCCTGATAATTGGCCCTGTAGAGAATAAGTGGAAGAGGGAAAAAGGAACAAGTTATAAGTCTGGTAGGATACTGAGTCAATGGGTAGATATAAGTATTATTGTATGTAAAGATATCTCAGTGTCTGTTAAAAAAAAAGGCCAGAAAATTAGGAACAACCATGGCCCTCTGTAGGAAATTGGAGTTGAAGATAATCTTCATGTGACAAAAAAGTAAAATGTGAGAAAGTGGTAGGTGATGGACTCAGCTTTCTGTGTCTTTGTCTAGTATTGTTCTCTTCAGTCTGTCTGTGTAGGAAAAATTATAGGTGATTAGTTCATTAATGTTACATTATCTCAATTATTGAAGCATGGGTGCCCTGGTCTCAATGTTTGTGTGCCCATGAAATTCATGTTGAAATCATCTTCTCTAGAGTGATGATGGTAGGTGGGGACCTTGGGAGGTGATTAGGTCATGAGGGCTCATGAATGGGATTATTATCTTTATAAAAGGCCTGAAGGAGCTTCCTTGCCCCTTCCACTTTGTGAGAAAACAGCAAGAAGGCACCATCTGAGAAAGCCAGCCCCTGCCACATCTGCCTGGGCCTTGGTCTTAGACTTCCCAGTCTATATATCTGTGAGAAATAAATTAGCCATGCCCGACTAATTTTTCTATAAGTATATTAGTCTATTTAGTTATAAGTGTGTTGTTTATAAGTGTATTAGTCTGTTCTCATGCTGCTAATAAAAACATACTTGAGACTGGGTACTTTATAAAGGAAAGAGGTTTAATTGACTTACAGTTCCACATGGCTAGGGAGGCCTCACAGTCATGGCAGAAAGTGAAGGAGGAGCAAAGTCACATCTTACTCAAGCTCCCAAAGTGCTGGGATTATATGCATGAGCCACCTTTCCCTCTGGTTTTCTTGCAGTATCACCTCTTCAATACAAATTTCTTTACATTTTACTGATGACTTTTTATATATGCCCAGAGTTCTCCTATCTATGGTAAATGATGTAGCAATAATTTTTTTTTGAGATGGAGTTTTATTCTTGTCACCCAGGCTGGAGTGCAATGGTGCAGTCTTGGCCCACTGCAACCTCTGCCTGCTGGGTTCAAGCGATTCTCCTGCTTTAGCCTCCCAGGTAGCTGGAATTACAAGCAGGTGCAACCAGGCTCAGCTAATTTTGTATTTTCAGTAGAGACAGGGTTTCACCACATTAGCCAGGTTGGTCTTGAACTCCTGACCTCAGGTGATCCACTTGCCTTGGCCTCCCAAAGTGCTGGGATTACAGGCGTGAGCCACTGCGCCCGGCTGATGTAGCCATAATTTTAAAACCACATTTATTCCTTCTCTAAACCTATATTCTAGGTCAGGAAATAAGAAAGTTATTACTTATGTGGTAGTAAATAAGAATGAGACTAAAAGTACTGATGTCAACCTATATATTACTATGAAATTCATTTCTTCAAAAGGGGAAATGGTAAAACCCTGTTAAGAAGTGGCTTAAGACACTGGGTGCAGTGGTTCATACCTGTAATCTTAGCTACTCAAGAGAAAGTGGGAAGATTGCTTAAGCCCAGGAGTTAGTGAACTATGATTGTCCCACTGCATTCTAGCCTGGACAACTGAATGAAACTCTTTTTTAAAAAAATAAAATATAAAAAGATGGTCTAAGAAGTGATAATTATATAGGCTGTTGAAAGTAAGATGAACAGAAAAATCTCTTAATATGCAGGTTAAAGTTCAGGAAATCTGAGAATTGAAGAGTTCACTGTATTGAAACATGTAGATGGTTTCATGGGAACACCATTTTCTGATTATGAAAAGATAACTGTAGGATTTCACCTAAATCCTAAGATAATCACAAACCTTAGGGTTTGTGGTTACTGGAGATCTCTAGAAACTTTTGAGCAGCAGTAGTGATACAATATTGGTATTTCAACAAAAGTAACATAATTGTGTATGAAAACCAATTACAAGTGGAAGAGAGTAGATGAAGAAAGCTTAATTTATACTCTGTTAGGTTAATACAGGCATGTAATATTACCATTGCAGACTGTTTCTCTAGGATTTCATCCTACGTTGAGTTTTAGTTTAGTTTTGTTTTTTTGAGACAAGGTCTTGCTCTGTTGCCCAGGCTGGAGTGTAGTAGGGCTATCATGGCTCACTGCACTCTCAACCTCCTAGGCTCAAGTGATCCTTTGACCTCAGCTGCCTGAGTAGCTGGGACTACAGGCATGCACCACCGTGCTTGACTAATTTTTGTGTTTTTTGCAGAGATAGGGTTTTGCCATGTTGCCCAGGCTGGTCTTGAACTCCTGGGATCAAGCAATCCATTCCCCTTGGCCTCCCAAAATGCTGGATTATAGGCATGAACCCCTACACCTGGCCCATTTAGTTTTCTTAATCACCTTTTCCATGTTCTGTATTTCTTAGAGTCTCCCTGCTTATTTTCCAGTTGACATGTCTGTACGTCACAGGTTTTGTGAGATGTATTAAATATTTTAAAATTACCTTTTTCACAATGTCTCCTTTGTTGTAGCCCATGATAAAGGGAACATTCACTTTTTAATATACATCTTTCAGATTGGGAATCTATATATGAGACACAGGAATTGCCTCTGAAGCAGTTCATTTATGATGTTGTGGCCCATGATAAAGGGAACATTCACTTTTTAATATACATCTTTCAGATTGGGAATCTATATATGAGACACAGGAATTACCTCTGAAGCAGTTCATTTATGATGATGCATGCATGGAGGGAATTACAAGCTATGGACTTGAGTGTTCCACTTTTGAAGAAAATTGGAAGTGGGAAGATCTTTTTGAGAAGCAGATGGGAAGTCAAGAGATGTTTAGCCAGCAAGAAACAATCACTCATAAAGAAACCCACACTAAGGAAACAGAATTTAAATATACTAAATTTGGGAAATGTATCCATCTGGAAAACATAGAAGAGAATATTTATAATCGTACCTCAGATAAAAAATGCTTCTCCAAAAATTCTATGGTAATAAAACATAAGAAAATCTGTGCAGGAAAGAAGCTTTTTAAATGTAATCAATGTGACAAAACCTTCACCCATAGCTCATCCCTTACTGTTCATTATAGAATTCATACTGGTGAAAAACCATATGAATGTGAGGAATGTGGGAAAGCCTTCAAGCAGAGGCAACACCTTGCTCAACATTACAGAACACATACTGGAGAGAAACTCTTTGAATGTAAAGAATGTAGGAAAGCCTTCAAACAGAGCGAACACCTTATCCAACATCAAAGAATTCATACTGGAGAAAAACCATATAAATGTAAGGAATGTAGAAAAGCTTTCAGACAGCCTGCACACCTTGCTCAGCATCAGAGAATTCATACTGGAGAGAAACCCTATGAATGTAAAGAATGCGGCAAAGCCTTTAGTGATGGCTCATCTTTTGCTCGACATCAGAGATGTCACACTGGCAAAAGACCCTATGAATGTATTGAGTGTGGGAAGGCTTTTAGGTATAACACATCTTTTATTCGTCACTGGAGGAGTTGTCATACTGGAGAGAAGCCTTTTAATTGCATTGATTGTGGGAAAGCCTTCAGTGTTCACATAGGACTTATTCTACATAGGAGAATTCATACAGGAGAGAAACCTTACAAATGTGATGTGTGTGGAAAAACCTTCAGCTCTGGTTCATCCCGTACTGTACATCAGAGAATTCATACAGGAGAGAAACCTTATGAATGTGATACTTGTGGGAAAGACTTTAGTCATCATGCATCACTCACTCAGCATCAAAGAGTACATTCTGGAGAGAAACCTTATGAATGCAAGGAATGTGGGAAAGCCTTTAGGCAGAATGTACACCTTGTTAGTCATTTGAGAATTCATACTGGTGAAAAACCCTATGAATGTAAAGAATGTGGAAAAGCTTTTAGAATCAGTTCACAGCTGGCCACTCATCAGCGAATTCATACTGGAGAGAAGCCTTATGAATGTATTGAATGTGGAAATGCTTTCAAACAGAGATCACACCTTGCCCAACATCAGAAGACTCATACAGGAGAGAAACCTTATGAATGTAATGAATGCGGGAAAGCCTTCAGCCAAACTTCCAATCTTACTCAACATCAAAGAATTCATACAGGAGAGAAACCCTATAAATGTACTGAATGTGGAAAGGCTTTTAGTGATAGCTCATCCTGTGCTCAACATCAAAGACTTCACACTGGCCAAAGGCCCTATCAGTGTTTTGAATGTGGGAAGGCATTCAGAAGAAAGTTATCCTTAATGTATCATCAAAGAGGTCATACTGGAAAAGAACCTTAAAAATGTAGTGCATGTGGCCAAGCCTTTAGTTATCATCAGTCCCTTACTGTTCATCAGAGAAATCCCACTGATTAAAAAACATATAAATGTAAGAAATGAAGAAAAACCCTCAGCCAGACTGAACACTTTACATGGAAGAATTCATACTACAGAGAGGTCTTAAAAATGTTAAGAATGTGCAAACGTCTTCAGACAAAATGCACACCTTGCTCATCATTGTGTTCATTTCAGGCATCCAGCTGTTCCTCACCCGCTACGTCACTGGATCCTGCCAACATACCTGCTAAATATTTTTGGAATTCATCCACTCTTTTGGTTCCCTAGTCTGAAACAGTCATTTCATCTGGACTGTTTCAATCATCATACAACCTTTTGTCTTCCCTGGGCCACACTGGAAGAAGAAAAATTGTCTTGTGCCACACATACAATACACTAACATTAACAATAGTTAACAAGCTAAGAAAAAAAAAAAGTCTGTGTGTAATTTTAGTGATACACCAACACAGATAAGCAAAGAAGTCATTGAATACAAGAGGTTGGACACCCATGAATTCTAAAACTTCTGTATCCTCTTTTATCCCTTTTGTATTAATATTATAGCCACAGTGATCTTTCAAAAATGCAAATTAAATTATTCGCTTAAAACTCATTAAAATATTTGATGCATAATAAAGTTCTTAGCAAAATTACCAACTCATACTAAGTGCTTGGTAAATGTTAGGTAAGTATTCTTCAGAGTTGATGTAAATTATTTTTAAACAGTGTACTCTTGAAAGCAGTATGGCAATTGTAAAAATTTTGGAACCAAAACAGTATCTTTTTTTTTAAACTAAAAAAAAGTTTTTAGATAGGGTCTTCCTGTATTTCCCAGGCTGGTCTCAAACTCTTGTGCTCAAGCGATCCTCCCACCTCATTCCCAAGTAGCTGGGATTACAGGCAACCAGCCTGACTTAAAAAACAGTATCTTAAGGTAGACAGTGATTAGCACATGTAGTATGCTTACCATTTAATATTATAATAAAACATCACAGTGACACTCTCATGATTAAGGCTGTGTTCCATTGTTGGTGAGGAAACTAATTATGACCGAATACATACAACATGTTTTAATAAGTGGCTGTATAGCTCTGGATAAAATGAACAAAAGAATTAGAATTTCTGGGGAGGATATATGCAAGACTATATTTAGTCAAGTCAAAAAAAGTCACTAATGTTTAAATGAAGAAAGAGAAATTAATATAGTCTCATTTCAACATGTGGGTTCACAGATTTATTCTAGCATTCTGAGGATCCATTAGTAAGGTTGTTCTGGAGTTTATTAAAACACACACACACACACACACACGCACACACACTTAAAATCTCCCACTTCTTTGATGAGGTTAAGTCAACTGTGATATCAAACCAAGGGGAATAAATGAAATTATAGGTGAATTTACTTAGTTTTATACAAAAGGAAATTGTTAGCCTCTGCTGATGGAGAACAGAGGCTCTGAATAAATGGAGATCCATAACATGATCCTAGATGGATGTTTCAGTATTGTAATCCTGTAGGTTACTTTTACACTGACAATTCTGAAATTCATGTTGAGTGTTATATTAGGCAGGTATCACAAGGAAGGTTGTATCCCATGAGTTTTTTATATTGCAAAAGTGTTTTCGATGTATCATTGGGGGAGATTAAGTGTCTTTGACAGTTATCCAACTGGAGATAAAGTCAGCATCACATTTCACTCCTTACAGAGAAGTTTATTCTGTACTGATTACAGACATGAGAGGAAATATTGTTAAGATGGTAGAGGAGAATGTAGAGTATTTCTGTGCCTTTAGGTCCAGGAAGTCTTTGGTAAGCAGGACATGGTCCAGAAGCCATGAAGAATGACAGGACTATGTAGAAGATTTAAACCTTTTTCATGATATAAGACACTGTATGCAAAGTTAAAAGCCATATGACAGGCTGAGAGATATCCTAAACATACATTTAAAAGGATATATCCCTTGCAAAAGGGCTGTGGGAAAGCAGCAAGGATAAGGTACACAGTCTTGCGTAGCATGTCAACAAAAAATCCTTGGATGAAGAAATTAAAATAGTTAAATAGAGGAAGTTCTTAACCTCACTAATAATCAGATAAATGCAGATTGTAAAAGTCCTCATCGCCACCAACACAAACCACCAGAAATTCTGTGTGAATGTAAAGTTTGGATAATATCCAGTACTGTTGCAGATGTGAGAAACCATATTTTCATATATTGAGGGTAAATTAGAGGAAAGCCATTTTAGAGGGCAATGTGGTGTTACCTGTCAGCATTTTGAATATAAGTACCCTTTGCTACGATTCTACACCTAGTAATTTATGTTCTCGAAAGCACAAGTGCAGAAATATAGATGCATAAGCACATGTGTTATAGAATTGAGAGAAATTTGGAAAAACAAAATATTTAGAACTAGTAAAGTTATGGGTTACAGAAAATCAATTCAGTAGATCAGTATGTAGTTACGGAAAATGAGATGGATCTCTATGTACTCAAAGATGTCCTGCAGCTTATGAACTGAAATATAATTTTATAATCAACACAGTGATATCATTATGAAGTACATAAATTTTAGAAAGCTTAATGTGTTTATAGTATCAGTTATTTGTTGTTTTTATTTACAATACAAATAGAAACCATGGACACACAAATACAGGAACTCCTTCCCTGTTGTTTTGTTTTTCTTATGGGAGGTGGGGTGAGCTGCTGTCATGTTATTCCATGAGCTTTTTTGTTGTTGCTGGTTGTACATAGTTTACTCAAATTAAATTAGATATTCCTTGAGACTATGGGGGAAGTTGAATATCAGTTATCTTTTGGTCAAGACTTAAAGATGGTGTATGAGTTTCTGCTGCTCTGCTCCCTAGACCTGACCTAATTCATGCTCCTGCCAGATTGTAAACACGTTTTGTTCTGCTGAGCTGGCAGAGTAGCTCCAAAAGAACTGTAACTAAGGTATGCACATACTGAAGACAGGGATATAACCAATATTTCTGGGAGAGCTCTAAGGAAGGTAGATTTATATAACAGTTATTCTGAGGAATTATGGGTGGTGATTCTTGCTCAAGCCAGCTCATGCATCTAGGCTAGAAGTTGCTTAGATACCTTTATCATTGCCTGAGGATGTTTTAAGGCCTCTGTTTGGATTTAAGCCTGCTGGGAAAAACCTGGACTAAAAACAGCTGAAAAGCTTTTCCTGAACCTGTGATATGAGAACAGCATTTTACTTCTAGGGGGTGCTTTATTTGTCATCCATAGGATGCTGGGCACATTTCAAAAAAGGACTGTTTTAGGAAAGTGGTTTCTTATAGGAAATCGAGGAGCTCGTGGAAGCTGCAGCTCACCAGAAGCAAAGTCTTCAATTCAGTGGTGTTCTTGGGCAGGCTTGTACTGGCTTGTAAGAGCTGAATACATTTTCAGGAATTTTGTTAACTAGTTGAGAAATGTGGTGTGTGTGTTAATATATTCACATATGTACTACATACATCTTTGTAAAATTTATAATAAATTCATGGAAATGATGCACTCATCTTTCCCTTGCAGAGCTGGATGTTAAGCCTTTGCCAGCATACCACTGATAGTTTATCGGGAAGAGATGACTGGCTGTGATTACTAGTAAGTCTCTGGAAATGAAATCAGTAGTCAACTGCTGAATTTTCCTTTGTTACTTATTTTAAAGTACCTAAAGTCTGGTCAGGGAGACCTTAGGCCAGTTATCCCCATGCTAGAAGTTGCCTTTCACCCTGTTCCCAAGACCTGGATGTGTGGACAGTCACCTGGGTACTCCTGAGGAATAACTTTCGTCTAACAGCAGTGTTTCTTTTCCTTCTAGGATCCCCAAAAAAACTGTAACCAAGATAAGTGTGTTCTTAGGGAAACCACTAATATTTCTGGAAGAACTTTAGAAAATGTAGACTTCTGTCCCAGTCATTCTGGAGAATTATGGGGTGATACTTGCCCAAGTTCCCTTATACACTAGGCTGTGCAGGATCATGTGCCAGTCATTTGCCTGTTTGCTGTAAGATCCATTCATTGCCTTTGCCCTGCTGTATGCCAAGTCACAGGTATTTAACCTCTGCAGATTACACTTTCCAGAGTCTACTGCCCACCAGTTTCCTGTAAGGGTCACTCAACAGGAGGCACTAGCAGAAGATTGGAGGGTGAGGGTTGGGGAGAAACCAGTGTATTTCTCTTCTACTCTTTACTTTGGATGATGCTGCTGGCAATGACTACACCTTCTCTGTTCCACCTCTCTCTTCACACCCCTGTCTATAGTCCCTGTTACTGCTAGGAAAGTTCCTGTACATCAGTCCAGCTTCTTCAGGTGGCCCTGGTTCCTACGCTGTGGTCAAATCACCTTCCCCTTTCACCCGCAAGCTCTATGGTTGGGAACTATTTGCCCCTGTTAATAACCTGGGATGCCTTCCTGCTCTCTGTCACCCTTCCCAACACCTTAGTTAGTACTTTGCAGTGTTAAAGTCCCTCTATTAAACCATGTTGCGTAGGTGTTTCCTGACTAAAGCCTAGCAGACAACAAACACAAACTACAGATGCTTCTGGAATTAATGCTGGGGTTATATCCTGATGAACCCATGGTAAACTGAAATGCATTTAATACCCTGATAATCTAATTGTGAAGCTGAACCATCTTTGGGTACCCTTTGTAGTTATTTCTACTTGCCTTGGTAACACATACTCATGCTAGGCTGAAACAAATCACAAGACCACACCGGGCACTGCCACCCTAGTGAAGTTCCTGTGTGCCCAGTGATTGGAGGCATATGAAGAAGAACTTATGACTCCTTGTACTCCCCGAGACTAAGAAGTAAATAGGACACTTCTTAAGTACAACATAAGCTAAATAGAATCTTGTTACAATCCATACATCACTGGACCAGAAGAAAACCGCCAGGTTATGGGGACCTTCAGGAGGTTAATGGCGAAGGGAGTGACAGCTGTGTGTGGTGGTGGGCACTGGCATCCTCGGAGTGTGTAGTTGCCTCTACCCAGATGGATCTTTTCCACCTAATAATGGGACATGCTAGGTCCATACAGCTTTCTAGCTACGTGGACTGTAGCAGCTAGCTCAGATTCTGTGCTCTGGTACTGAATCTCCAATATAAGCTACTCTCAAATCAAGACCCTTTTTGCAAAGGAAAAAGCATGACCCTTGGATGAAACTTGTGATCCTGCAGATCCTACTCTATGAGCTGGACTTGGTCAAGAATCCCCCCATAATTCTCCAGAATGACTGTGACAGAAGTCTATATCCCCAAGAGTTCCTTCAGCAATATTAGTTATTTCCCTTCCCTCAGAATGCACTTATCCTGGTTGCAGTCCTTTTGGGAATTTTAGGAAGAAAAGCAACAGTGATGTTACAGGAAGGTTATTCCTGAAGGGTACCCAGGTGACTGTCTACTTCTCTGTTGGGCTTTCCACAGATTCCATAAAATATCCCAATCTGCTCTAAGTCCTTCAAACTAAACTGGAGCTTTGTAGCCCTAAGGACTCAATGGTAGAGTCTTGTGTATCACAACCTAAACTGAAAGGCGTTCTCTTCCTTCTGCACCCAAGCACACCTGGAAGTTTATCTGGAGGAAGACTCCTTGTTTTTATAGATGCTGTAGCATGCCCATACCAGCTAAAATAGGACCTCTGAGCACAGCCACCTCAGTCAGAGGGACCCACGGACCCATTCTGAATGTGGCATACCCTCTTCTTTCTTTCTTAGTGCAATTCTTGCTTAAAGAGTTCATGACAAAAGAAGAAAAAAGCCTTGGTGTTAAGGATAGAGGCAACAGTGTGGGCTGTTACTCACTGAAGCTGACTTGGCTGACTGAGGTTCAAGCAATCCTTCTAAATGTTCTTTTTTTCTTTTTTCAGTAAAATGTATCATGTTTTGAGGCAGTTGGATTCCATTGGACCTTTTTGTTTGAAAACAGGGATGGGTAAGAAGGTGGGGAAGTATGGCATTCTGGGTTATTCTTATTCTGGATTATTATAATCCCACTTATTCTGGATTATTTCCTTTTAATATTCTTTGCATCTCTTCCATTCTGTTCAAGGACTGAATGAATGCTTTTTGCACTATCATTATACACATTGTACCCCAAATCAAATGACACATTTTAGAGCAAAGCAAGGCAAGGAGTTGATTCTTCTGAGGGTCATTCTCATATATATATATGTGTGTGTGTGTGTGTGTGTGTGTGTGTGTATATGTGTGTATATATGTATATATATGTATATATGTATGTGTGTGTGTGCATATATATATATATATATATATATATTCCATTTCCTTTCAACAGTATGTGTTGAAGTTAGAAAGGATACATGTCATGTGGCAGGGTGGTATATAATCTGAACATGAACAAGGAATATAAATAATCAGTACATGATGCTGTTTGTCCAATTATCAGAACGCCTGTATCCAAGGAAATAAGTAATAGAGGAAACCAAACGTCTTTTTGCCATAACAGTTCTTGAGCAGTTATATCACTTTCTGAGCAATTCCCTTTATTTTAGTACATCAACAATTTCACCCCAAAACACCCCAAGTACATTATAAAGATTGGTATTTCAACATTAGTGTTTCTGACCTAATGCACTCACCAGTTTAACACTTTAAACTTTTTCTTGCCTTTATGGGTTTCAGTGGTATGGAGGTTTTAGCACCAAATGGAGGAATCTTCTGTTAGGGAATATAGTAATGACCACAATGAATCAGAAGCTTATTGCCATCTGGCCATTTTGATCTTCTCCTGACAATAAGAAAGCAGGTTAAAAAAACAAAACACTGTGATTGTTGGTTTTATAAAGAGGTGGGGAAAGGTTTCCCTACAAGAATTGCCAGGAAAACTATGGTTGGGCGCTTCCTTGTACTAACTGCCATGTCTAGTTATAAAGTCTTATGTTCAACATTTTTGGTTTCACCTTCCAAAATTCTGGTTTGTCTTGTCCAAAGGCTTTAGGGCCAGGAGGAGGAAGTCTTCTATTCCAGAACCTAACAATGGATTCAGTGCATTGTAGATCAAATGACATCTGTCTGTTTAACATCTCACATGTCACTGCATGAGTAGTTGGAATTAAAAAGCCAGGGTAGTTGATCCAGACAGGCAATGATAAAGAGTTGATGCTCAATAATGGAGATTGGGAGGGATGTGGTTGTGTCACTTCCTAGAAATACGCCCATTGGTAATGGAAGACACCTGCAATATCACATAGGCCATTGATGATTTGGGCCAGATTATTCCTCAACTCAGACAAAGAACCTTAACTCACTGAGGTGTTGGCAAAACTTAGGAGAAACATGGATTATAAAGTAGAAGAGATTATATATACAACTATAATCCTAGTTATATATACCAGTTCCAGAAAAAATAAGAGCTGGCTATGTTCTCTACTTGTGTTTTTCTTTTTATTGTTTCATAATTAAACCTCTTCCCTACCCACCTCCCTTTTGTTCAGAGAAGGTATTTTAATTAAAGTGATTTTAACCTCAGTTCATATTATCTCAGCGAGTGCTTACATATTTTGTTGTTGTTGTTGTTGTTGTTTTAACACTTGCTATGAATTAGAGGAATACACATTTTTCTTTTAAAGAGATAGGGTATCGCTCTGTCACCCAGGCTGGAGTGCACTGGCACAGTCATGGCTCACTGAAGCCTTTAACTCTTGGGCTCAAGCAATCCTCCTGCCTCAGCCTCCCAATTAGCCACTATGCCGGGCTAATTTTTGTTTTTTAATTGTAGAGATGGGATCTCATTACATTGCTCAGGCTGGTCTCAAAACCCTGGCCTCAAGCAATCCTCCTACCTTGGCCTCTCAGTGTTGGGATTACAGGCATCAGCCACCATGCCCGGCCCACATTTATTTTTAAGGAGGAAATATTTACATACAGATGTTAAGTATAAACTTGATGAGTTTTTTTATGGTTTGCACTATAAAATGTACTCATTTTAGGTATAAAATTCTCACTTTCACAAACTCATAGTCATGTAGCCACCATAATCCAGGTACACAACACCAAAAATGCCCCTCTTAGTCACTCTCCTCCTACCCCAATCCCTAGGCTACCACTGATCTATTTTCTGTCTTATATGGCATTATAAAATGTCATATATGTATATAATCATACAGGATATAGCCTTTTGAGTGTAGTTTTTTCACTTAGCATAAAATGTGAGATTTAGCCATGTTGTATATATCAGTGGGTTGTTCTGTTTTATTGTTGAATTCCATTCTATTAAGAACCCACAGTTGATTTATCCATTTACCAAATATTAGACATTCGGGTTGCTTCCAGGTTTGGGTGATTATGAATAAAGTCATTGAAAGCATTCAAGAACAAGTTTTTAGTGGATATCCATTTTCACTGGTCTTTGGTAAATATTTAGAAGCAGGACTGGTGGATAATATGGTAAGTCTACATCAATTTTATAAGAACCTAAAAAACCGTTTCTCAAGATGCCTGTAGTATTTTTCATTCCAATCAACAACAGATGAGAATTCTCTTTGTTTGGCATCCTCACCAACAGTTAAAATTGGCAGGTTTGTTGGGATTTTTCCCCAATCTCATAGGTTTGTGTTTCTTTGTGGTTTTAATTTGTATTTTCTGAAAGGCAGATTATAAGCCATATGTATATCTGCCGTGGTAAAGTCTAAAATTTTGCCGATTTTTTAAAGTTTGTGTACTTTTTGTTGAGTTTTAAGAGTTCTTCATATATTCTGAATACAATTCCAGTTTCAGATATGTGATTTGCAAATATTCAGTCTCTGAATTGTCTTTCTCTTAACAGTGTCTTTTTGCACAGTATAAGTTTTCAATTTTGATGAAGTCAAATTTATCAAAATTATTTTATGAAATGTGTCACATGTCTTGAAATTGGGTAATGCCAGTACTCTAAGTGTTCTTTTTCACAATTGTTTAGATATTCAATTTCATAATAAATATTTGAATCGTTTTATCAGTACTTACACAAAAGTTGTTGACATTTATTTTAAGTTTATTTATTTGTTTGAGACAGGGTCGCATGCTGTCACCCAGGCTTTAGTGCATTGGTGCCATCTTGGCTCACTGTATGCTCTGCCTTCTGGGTTCAAGCAGTTCTTGTGCCTCAGCCTCTGAGTAGCTGGGATTGCAGGCACCTGCCACCACGCCCGTCTAACTTTTGCATTTTTAGTAGAAACAGGGTTTTGCCATGTTGGCCAGCTAATCTCAGACTCATGGCCTCTGTCATCCACCTGCCTCAGACTCACAAAGTGCTGGGATGACAGGCGTGAGCCACTGCAAATTTTAAGTAACAAAACTGATAGGGATTATCTATTGCTTTGGTATTCATGGAAAAGCCTCAGAACTTATTTAATGATTTTCCATTTCTTCTTGAGTCAGTTTTGGTACTTACAATTTTCACTAGAGTAAGCCCCTGCATATGTTTTAAATATGTTGAGATAAGGTGATCATTGTATTTGTAAAAATCTAAAAATTTCTGTAATTATGTTCACTTCTTCATTTCTAATATCATTTCTTTGTTTGTTTCTCTTTTTAGCATAACTTTCTTTAGTCATCTTTAACTTAACCTTTATCCTCATGATGTCAAGGTGGCTGTTCTACCTGTTGACATTCTGTGTTATACCCAAGCAAGAAGAAGGTTGTGTGAGATGACAACAAGCCAGAGTTACGTGCCAGCTGTGTCTCTCTCCACCCACCCACCAAACCTCAAAAAAATCTGTATTTAAATGTCACTAGTTACAGACACACGACTCCTTACAAGCAGACTGGGGAGGTGAGCATTATAAGCTGGGCAGATGGCCACCTGAAGAGCATCAGTATTTTGCTGTGGAAGGAGTGGAAAATAGACACTGGAGAGACTACTAGCACTGTCTGCCACAGCTATTACATGGCTATGTCCACTTGACTCTGAAACTAAGCCTTTTCTATGAGACTGAAGTGCTTTGAAGAGAAATGCTGACCTTGTCTTTTCCGTAGCTTGTGGCTTCAGTCACTCTTGGAATCAGATACAAGTCATTTTAATTCCATCACTGAGGCCAGGAGACCTGACGGAAATCAATTCAAGAGTATGACCAGGGGTCCAGTGTGACTGGGCATGTAGGGGTCAGTGCATCTGTGATGATGGGTGTAACAGCATCACTGCCTGTGAGCCAATGAGGCCCTCGGCTCCCAGGACGAAGCTCTCCAGGTCTGATAAGGCCCCTGGGGGAGAGACCGGTCCTAAACATGTACCAGAATAAATCCATCAGCTAACTTCAGATGATTCACACAAGAAGGCAACTTTAAGAGGTCGCCAGGGCTGGTATTTTTGACTGAGATGTTACGTAGCCCTCTCTGAGGTGATTACAAGTAAGGCATAAAGGAGCCAGCCCGGACGAAAATTTGGGGTTAGACTATTCAGACGCAGGACGTGCAAATACATAGGTTACAAAATGGAAAACAGTATTCTGGACGATGGGAGACCTGTGAAGCCAGAGAGAATGAGAGAAGGTGAGGGAGAACCCAAAGCAATCCCACAGCTCTCTACATCTCACTTCCAAGCCCACACACATCCCCCATCAAGAGTCATCCTCCGGACTCCGGAGGTCCCCAAGATTGCCTCTCCCTTCTAGGTCGGCGGTGATGCTCCCGCAAGGAGCGGACGTCGAGGACCTCAGCATCTGTCGCAGCCAAGCACACTTTTTCCCCCGGCCCTGCGGTCCCTCCCCTCGCCACAAACCCCGTGCCAGCCGGACTGCCGCTGCGCGTGCACGACTCCCCCAAGCCTTTGGGGAGCGGGTCTGTTGCCTCTGCTTCCGGCCACACCCAGGCCCGGCGTCTGCGGTCCTAGGAAAAGTGGGAGCGACCGGCGGAGGGCAGGACCGACGGGGGTCGCGTAGGACCAGGGCCAAACGGTGTCTCACAGCCTGAGCTCCGCGGGTGGACGCATCTGTCCTTGCTCAGGACTACGCTTCCCAGCGGGCGTTGCGCGGATGCCCCGCCTACTTCCGGCGGCGCTGGCTGCACGCTAGGAGTGGGACGGGCCGGGCAGCCCTCCGCGGCGGGGAGGGGCGGGCAGTGGGGAAGGGCGGAGCGCGGCACGGCCGGGGGCGGAGCGGCTCCGCGGCGCGGCCCCGTGGATGCCGGGGCTTGGGAGAGCGCGCGCAGGGCAGTGCGTTGGGCGTGGCGGGCGGGTGTGGCCAGGGGTGTGGGTCTGTGAGGGACCAGCCGGGAGGGCGTCGCGTGGCCTCGGGTGACATGCGGGGTGCCGCGAGCTCGGGTGTCCGCAAGCCGACGCCGCTCCCGAGCAGAGGCGCCCACCGCACAAAGCCCCGGGCGGGCCGAGGCCCGACTACAGGGACTCCGGCTGCCTTGGCCCTCCCTGCCAGGGGAAGGCCGCGCTCCAGGAATGACCTCGCATCGAAAGGCCGGCGAGGAGCGGCCACCACGGGGCCTGGGCACAGAGGTGAGAGTGACAGGTGTTTGGGGCCTGGCGGACAGGGTCGAATTCATCTCGGGGTGCGATCTGGTAGGGGGTTGGGCCCTCGGGAACTAGATGCTGGAGAACTGTGTCCCTGGTCTTTGAAGCCGGTGGAGCCGGGGTATCTGAAGATTTGGAAGCCCAAATGAGTCAGAGCACCAAGCCACGGTAGAAGGAATGTTGACTTGCCAGGGTCACTCTAACTAGACACTTTTCCTGTTTTCGTGCTCGCAAGGAGAAGATAACCCCTATCTCCACGTTGTGGCAGTCCCTAGGCAGGGTAATGACCTGATCCCACCTGCTTATGCAGGAAGGGGCGTTTCTAGGCTGGTGATTTAGGGCTGTGGTGTAGACCTGGTCTCTAGCTACTGCTTTCTCTTCCAGCTCTGCCTTCCAGGGACACTGCTCTTCCCCAGGAGAGAAACCAGAAGCTGGCGACTGCGGGGACAGGAATTGAACCTAAAGCCATGTCCCAGGTGAGCTGGCATTTCATCTCTCATCTCTGAAATTCGATCTTGCTTCTCGGGAGTTAATGCTGTTGATTTTCTTGAAAGTTTTCAGTTTAAGAGACGTGTTTGGGCGCTGGTTTCTGTTTCTTTGTATTCTCGTGAGTGATGGGCTACAGGGAAAAGTTTAAACTGCCCAAGGCCTCCAAACCTGCTTCTTCTTCATCCCAGTCAGCCTTCATTCTTGATTGATGAAATGATTCAGCCTTTCCCTTGTACCGCTTTTCTCAGAGGGACTCTGATGGAGAAAATGCATTCCTTGAGGAACACGGGAGACCCTTCTGCTGCACATGGCTTGTTCCGTGACCACTTTGTGCCAGCCACGGGACAAACCAATGGCTAAACCCCATTCCCTGCTCTCGGAGCTGACAGCTGTTGACCCAAAGTCAAGGAAACAAGCAAGATTCTAGAATGTGGTAATCCTTGGGCCAAGTACTATGAGTGACGACTACAAGGAGCTCCTGGCTTCCAGCGTGCTGTAGCGGAAGGGTAGGCTATTTACCAAGGAGGTGATTTTTGAGCCTTGCCTTGAAGGGAGAGAAGATGTTTCAAAGGCACAATAGAGAAAGACAACATTTTAGGGAGAGGAGGTGCAATATGAAAGGCTTTCTTTTTCCCACTTAATTTTGTATCTTTAAAAAATGCTAATAAATAGTTTGTTTCTGTTGGCTGTGTCTCATAAATATCATAGCTAGCTCATTAATAGATGAACCATTTCACTTCCACTGGGTCTCAAAAAATATTTGTACATATGAACCAGTTTCCAGTTGTGCTGCCCAAACTGCTCTTACGTGGGTTACTGTGATCTTCATGTTACCAGATGCAGTGCTCAATTCTTAGTCTTTTTTGACCATTGTTGTTATTTGATTTTTAAATTTTTTTTTATTTTTCCTTTTTTCAATGATTGTGCCATGACATCATTGGTATTTGAAATAGCTCGGGTTAGCAAACTTGTGCTGTATGAGGCTACAGTAGAAAATATGTCAGGCTTTGAAAATCTCTGCTGCAGCTACTCCTTTCTGTTCTTACAGAGCTAACGCAGCCACAGTCAATATGTAAGTGAGTAGATGGGCTGTGTTCCAGTAAAACTTTATTTACAAAAACAGGTGGCTGCCAATCCCTGAAATAGCTCATCCCTCTCCTTCAATAGGCCTCCCTTTTCCCCTTGGCTACTGGGATCCCACCCTCATCTGACTTTCCTCTCATCTTCCTGACTTCTCAGTTTTTGCTACAGTTCTTACTCATTTCCCTGACCTTGCACAGAGTGCGCCTCAGCATTCTGTTCTTGGCCCTTTCTGTTTTGTCTGCATGCTGTCTCCTGGGGATATTAGCCTTTTTCTTGTCTGTAAAACCTACTCACATGGTGGCTCCTCCCAAATTCGCATTGTGAGCCAAAACCTCTCCTCTGAGCTCCGGGCCTGTGTATCCTGCTCAACTCCTCTGCCTGGGTGTCTAATAGGTAACCCAAGCCAGCCTGTAATAGGTAATAGGTAATGAAGTCCAGAGATTCTCCCATAAACTGGCTCCTCCTACAGTTTGAGTCTTAGTGGCCATTTCATCCTCTCAGTCCAAAAGCCTTGTCATTGTTGTCTCATGTCTTTCTCTCTCCTTCCATATTTGGCCTGGTTGTAAATCCTGTCAATTCTGTTTGCACATTATATGCAGAATCTGGCAATTTTCATCATATCTATCACCACCAGCAGGTCCAAGTCCTCCTATCTCTTACTATTGGCTTCTTGACTGTGCTTCTGTGACTTCCTGTCTGCTCTCAGTCCCCACAGCCCCTTCCCAGTGCAGCAGCCCAAGGGGTCTATTCAGATGCGTCACCTTGTATTACGCTCTGCTCAGGAGCCTCCAATGGTTTCTCTGAATAAAAGCCAAAGTTTTTCCTGTGACTGACCAGGCCCTACATGACCTGGCTCCTTGTTACCCCTGACATCTATTACATCACTCTCTTTTCTTTCTGAAAAATTGCCTCCTCATTTTCCTGCTCACCCTGTCTAGAATTTCAAAGCCTCCTACTCTAGCTCTTTATATCCCTCTTCCCTGCTTTACTTTTTCCTTTTAGTACTTTTTTTTTTTTTTTTCTGAGATGGAGCTTTGCTCTGTCATTCAGGCTAGAGTGCAGTGGCGTCAGCTCAACTCACTGCAGCCTCCACCTCCTGAGTTCAAGTGATTCTCCTTCCTCAGCCTCCCTAGCAGCTGAGATTATAGGTACCTACCACCACACCTGTCTAATTTTTGTATTTTCTCTTTTTGTAGAAACAGGGTTTCACCATGTTGGCCAGGCTGGTCTCAAACTCCTGACCTCAAGTGATCCACTCCCTCAGCCTCCTAAAGTGCTGGGATTACATACATGAGCCACTGAACCCAGCCATTGTAGTACTTTTCAACATGCTATATACAGAAACCCCACATATACCAAAATTTGCACATACTCATGTGGAACCTACAGATATGAAAAGTCAGCCTTCAGTGTACACATACTACAAATAATCTTTTTTTTGGGGGAGATAGGATCTCACTCTGTTCCCCAGGCTGGAATGCAGTGGTGCAATCAGGGCTCACTGCAGCCTTGACTTCCCCAGCCTCAAGCAATCCTCCTGTCTCAGGCTCCCAAGTAGCTGGAATTATAGACATGTAGCACCACATCCAGCTAATTTTTGTTTTGTTTTGTTTTCTAGAAATGGGGTTTTGCCATGTTGCCCAGGCTGGTCTTGAACTCCTGGCCTCAGGCAACCACCTGCCTTGGCCTCCCAAAGTGCTGGGATTAGGTGTGAGCCTCTGCACCTGGACAATAATTGTATTTTCAATCTGCATTTGGTTGAAAAAAATATATCATGTAGGTGGACCTTTGTAGCTCAGAACCATGTTGTTCGAAGGTCAAATGTGTTTTACGTAATTTATCTCGTTTTCTCTTGTCTCATTCCCTTACTTCATAGGCAAAGATTTAGAGCAGTTTTGTCCCAGTGTCTGATACAGAAAATATTTGGAGGGTGAATGTTTGAATATGGTCTTTAAGTTCTCTTGTGGCCAGTGTTTTGATATTTGGTAAGTGTTAGATTAATCATTTTTATATCTGAAAATGTGCTTCATCCCTGATTTTGTTTTTGTTGTTGTTGTTGTTTTAGAGACAGGGTCTCACTCTGTCACTCAGGCTGGAGTACAGTGGCACAGTCATAGCTAATTGCAGCCTTGAACTCCCGGCCTCAAGCAATCCTCCCACCTTGGCCTCCCAAGGAGCTGGGATTGTAGGTGTGACCTACCAAGCCCCTGATTATTTTGTA